TGTTTATAAGCTCTTCAAGTTATCTGGTGGAGTTGTTTTGGGTTTTCTAGAGATAGGATCATGTCATCATCAAACAGGGAAATTGTATCCCTGTCTTTTGTCCTGTACAAAAGTCAACTCAAAGTAGATCTGTGACTTAGGTATTAGATCACATACTTTGCAACAGCTAAAAGAAAGTATAGTATCAGTTCTCCTACATATTGGCACAGGCACCAACTTCCTTAAAAAGACTCCCAAAGCACAAGAAACAAAACTGAGAATATAAATGGGATGGTACCAAATTAAAGTTTTTGTACTGCAAAGAAAACAAGAGCATGAAGAGAGTCTACAGAATGGGAGATCTTTTTGAGCCACTTTCTGACAGGGGAATCCAGAATATATAAAGAACTAAAAAAACAAAAAAACCTCATAACAAAACCAAAATAACCCAATTCATAAATGGGCAAAAGAGTTAAACAGACCCTTCAAATATATAGAACAAATATGTAGAAAAAAGAAGTTCAACATCCCTAGCAATAAGGAAAATCAAAACTACATGAAGATTTTTGTCTCACTTCAGTTAGAATGGCAAGCTTCAAGAATACAAATAATAATAAATGCTGGCGAGGAAGGAGAGAAAATGATACCCTCATATGTTATTGGTAGTACTGCAAATTAGCACAAACCCTTTTGAAGGCAGTGTGGAGATTCCTTAAAAAGATTAGCAATGGAACCACCATATAACCCAACTATTCCACTCCTCAAAAGAACTAAAATCAGCATACTATAGTAATAGAGGCACATCAAAGTTCCAGCAGTGCAATTCACAACAGCCACATTATGGAACCCGCCCAGGTGCCCATTAACAGATAAATGGATAAAGAAAATGTGGTATGTATACATAATGGAGTTTTACTCAGCCAAAAAGAAGAGTGAAATTATGTAATTCCCTGGTAATTAGATGAAGCTGAAGAACATCATGCTAAGTGAAATAAGCCAGATCCAGAAAGTCAAGCATCGAATGAATATTTGCTCTGACACATGGGAACTAGACTAAAATAATGAAAGAAAAGGAGGAGGGAATCCCATGAAAATAGAAGGGAGATCAATAGGGGAGAGGAAGGGGATTAAGGGGAAGGAGGAGGATGGGAGGAGGAGGAATGGTGGGATGAAATTGACCAAATTATGCTATGTACATATATGAACATACCACAGTGAACTTTACCTTTTTTGTATATCTATGAAGATCTAATTTTCAGAAAGCAATAAGTATATGCAAGGAAGATCAATAGAGCAGAGGAAGGGGAACAGGGACAGAGAAAAAGGGAGGGAAAGAGGAAGTACTGGGGACTGAAGTGGAGCCAATTATACTTCAAACATGTATGATTATATCAAAATAATCCTAATATTATGTATAATTATAACATACAAATGTTAAGTATAACATTTTTTAAAGATACAGCCATTTTAATTACCTTTAAATAAATATTTGTACAGTGAACTGACAAATCTGATGAAAGAATGAAAAAATGAAAGTACAAAGATTATTGACAACCCTGGTTTATGTTTCAATGTCTCATGGATGAAAACCTCCTCAGGAACTTGTTGAATGACTCTTCCTAAATGAAAAGTAATATGTACACTTATATAATGTTATATGTTTCTACCATGGGCACTGCATTTTAATAGATCTTGTATTCTACTAATTTGCTAAATTTGTTTATAAGCTCTTCAAGTTATCTGGTTAAGTTTTGTGGTGAAACCTTTGGGGTGTAATAAGGAAACATGAACTAGTGGGAGCTACACTTTAAGGTTGATTCTCAACTGGAATAAGTGGGAGTAAAGTAATGTGCAGATACTCATATACCACAGGGAAAAATACATACCTGAGTCTGAATGCCTGGTTGAGGATTCAGTTATATGCACTGAAAATTTAGAAATATTTAAAAAAGGAGAAAAAATGGAATTCAGCATTTTAAAAACACTTAACAAAACTTCTTAACAGAAAGTATCCAAAGCCAGTGTTTGGATTTGGATACTTTTTTTCTTTTTTGGTACTTGGGATTGAATCCAGAGGCACTTAACCACTGAGTCACATACCCAGTCCTACTTTTTGTTGTTGTTGTTTTGAAACAGGATCTTGCTAAGTTGCTTGGGGGCCTCACTAAGTTGCTGAGGCTGACCTTGAACTTGCATTCCTCCTACTTCAGCCTCACAAGCAGCTGGGATTATAGTCATGCACCACCTTGCCTGTCTGGATAGATTTTGATCGCCAAGGTTTACGTCTAGAAGCTTGGTCCCCAGTGTGGTCATGCTGAGGTGGTGGAACCTTTCAAAGGTGGGGCTTATTGGGAGGATAGTGCTATATGAAGGTATTAAGGCAGAGTTTTCAGAGTTAGCTCTCCAAAGAGCAAGTTGTAGTAAAAGAACGAAAATGGTCTTGGCTTTCTGTCTCACCATCTGATCCCTCTTTCAAGTGTTCCTGACATGGTGCCACCTGCTATGTTGTAACCCAGCCTAGAGGGCCTTCTCCAGAGGCTGAACAGATGAGGTTCTGTTATAACAATGAATATAACCAGTAAATATAGAGTTATTGTACGTTCTTTTTTGTAGCTGAGTGCTCTTTCTCTTTTTCTTCCTAACTTTCTATCTTCATGAATGTTAGAAGAAAATGTGAACTGCAGAAAGATTTGGGAGAAAAGACCAAAGTCAGAGCTAGCATGAGACACAGGGGAGGACTTGCTTCCTGATGCCTACTCCTTCCCTTTCTCTGTTCCCTCTTCCTTGGCTAATTTTTCTACCCTCAGCACCTCACCTCCTGTGTTGGATTTCACAGCTGCTGGCCCAAGGAGGATAGTGTTCTGGGAAGACATGTAGCAATGGTGAGCCATGGAGATGCTCCCATGTTACAGTAGAGACCATAGCTGTTGATTACTCTTTCTGTTACAAACAACCAATGCCTTTGATTCTTCATCTCTTAAATACTTGTTTTCATAAATACACTGTCTTGTTTAAATGTAAACCAATTTTTCAGGATTCCTGATGATAAGTTGACTATAGATCATAAGCACCGAGTAAAGGTGGCACATTTGGAAATGCATTTGCCTTGTTACAGTGAAGTGCCAGATTGCATGTATGGACACGTTTTTCTCCATGAAAAGGAGCTTTATAGAATGTTCAGACAGCAAATTCAGACTTCAGTGTAAGATTTAAAAAATATTTTCTCTCCCATTCTGAGTTTAATAGTAGATTCTGTTTCTTGAGTGACAGAGGGTGACATATTTGATAGTCTTAGCTACATTGGTGCCAAGAAGGGAAACATATATTGTGGGTTCCAAAAATATTATCATTTGTCTGATTATTGATCTGTAACTATGCAGTCAAATGAAAGATCACCTATTAAGTATGATGCAGGAAGTAGATGATTTTGTTTGCTTATACAGAAAGGGAATATTAACTGGGAAGTCTGTATCCAAGACAAGGCTTAGAACCTCAGAAGATTCTATATCCTTAGTTTCTAAAGGAAATCCTGTGGAATATGTTTTACAACATATTTAATGTATTTCATTTAGAATGTTTTAGAAAAGCTTAAAAAGAAAGTGTCCTTTTTTGTATAATGAGAAATGACTTTAGGCATGGTAGCACATAAACATTGACACTACTTTATTTTACTAGGATCTCCTTTGCTTTTGCACAGCGTTTGTCCTCTAGCTGGCCCCCTCTGTGGCTTCAAGATGGGTACAATAGTTAAAGATTTCCCATCCAGGCATAGGAAAGTCCACAGGAATAGAGAGTTCAATTCTTACTTGTAATTATTTGTAAGATTAAAGGATATTTCCAAGAAATCCCCAGTCAATATCCATTAACATCTTATTAGATGGAAATATATCACTTGCCCAAGTGAAATCAATCATGGGCATCATCAGGCAGGAACTACACCCAGGACTGGGGATGATGTTGACCTTGTCTGGACAATGTCATGTAGAACATTGTGCATCCCTGAACAAAATTAAGACTAGAAAGAAATCTAATCTAGTGGGAGTGCAAAGAGATGTTGGTTAGATGACTAATAGGGTTTACTGTAAGATCAGTCTTTTAAAAAAAGTAATTCTGGTGCTAAGGATCTAACCCAGTGCCTCACACATACTAAGTAAGCACTCTGCCACTGAGCTACAGCCCCAGCCTCTCTCTGTGTGAATTTTAAGATATTTTTTTATTCTCCTGAGTATTATGATTATTTATGGTAGGACATAATGTATAGCATCCCCCTTCTGTTTAATTTATTTGGAGGTTTTTTTTTTTTTTTGGTCATTTCTGATTGTTATTTCCTTGTGTTATAAGCTCATATGAAAATTAAGATTACTGTTATAAACTCATATAAATATTAGCATTTTAAAAGCAATGAATAGTATCACATACCTGAAGGTTAAGGTGGTATTCATTTTGGTTTCCCAGAATAGGAATCCATATGAGAAATTGCCACTTAGAGCTTGGCAAGGAGGAACGTTTCAGTTGTGATGATAAGAATCAAGAGGACAGGGGCTGTGTCTCAGTGGTAGAGCGCTTGTTTTGCATGTGTGAGGCACTGGGTTCGATTCTCAGCTCCACATACAAATAAGTAAAATAAAGGTCTATTGACAACTTAAAAAAAAAAAGTTAAAAAAAAAGTCAAGAAAGTTGTTTGCCCACTTCCCAGCCTGCCTTGTAGCTAATTCAGAGATATGGGTTTTATTTAAGAGGCATAAGCATTTCCTTCTCTCTCCCTCCACCCTTTCTTCTTCTCCTTTGTTTCCTGCCACTTTCCTCTCCATCTCCTTCCCCTCCTCTTCTTCCTCCTCTTCTTCAGTCCTCTTCCTCCTCTTTATCTCTCTGTCACAATAGCAGTTTTCTCACCAAATATGAACTGATGTATGACCCAGGGTGGTTTCGTGGCTTCTTAATCTTTGCATAGCTGTCTAGATCTCCTACTAGTTCTGTGAGCCAGCCAATGTGTTTTTAAGAAATTGTTCTGCTTATTTCAGGGAGAGCCAGTTGCTACTGATGGCATCTGAGAACCTGGACTAATACAAGTACTGAGGCAGAGAGTGTGGCCAATACACAGCAGAAATCACACTGTAAAATAAGAAGAAAAGATGTTAATAAACATGGCCAAATGGAGGTTCGTGACTATAGAAGGTAAGGATTTATTCCAGAGAATTGGGTCAGCAGGGAAGACAGAGTAGTTCTGAATTGTCAGGGAAATGTTTATATTAATGAGAATCTGTGCTCCAGAGGAGTTCAGGATTTCCCATCAGTTTACATTTTTGCATAATACAGCTCAACAAACAGATATTGCCAAAGTATAACAGGATGACAGGGAGAAATATTTTCACCCAAGTGCTGAGAATGGTGGCTAATGGAAGCTAAAATAACTAAAATTATTATATAGGACATTCATTCCAAAAACAAGATTTGACTCATGAAAATCTGTTTAGGAATGCATACATTTTATACATGTAAAAAAATGGATAAGCTTGAGTAACATATTTAAATAAACACTCAATGCAAATATGTACAATCTTTTTTTCAAAGAAGTTCATATAATTTAACCATGCTATTGTGTTTGCAAAGTTAAGAACTTTTCTTCCCTTTGTAGGAAATATTATTAGCTACCACCATACTTACTTAAATTAAACTTGGGAAATTTTATTCATTTTTTAGGAAAAAAATTTGGAAAAAAGTAAAAATGTACCATGCACATGCCCATATATAAAAATATGAAAGACTTAAGAAGTTTTTAGGAAATGGCAAATAATTCTCAGCATGGAGCCTAATCTGTTATGGTTTAGCTAATTTATAATAGCAAGATAACATCAGATCAAATACACAATTTTTTGTCAATTTACTAAGATTGACCTTATCAAAACAAAGTTTTACTGTTTTTCTAAGCACTTTGCATTGGACAAAAATGAATTTCCTCTCCAGTTCCTCATTAGATGAAATGAAAAATATTCTTCTAAAACATGGGCTTGTGTGTGATTATCCAACAAAATAAAATTATTACTGGTCTGCAGGAGATAATGACTTAGAGATAATAACTGTTCAATCGGATGACTTCTGTGAATATCTCCTCATTGCATTTGAGCCCTATCATGATTCCCTTTCCTGGCCAGCATTACATTCAAAGGAGCTAATTTCTCACAGGCCGCAGTCTGTTTCTTCTTACCAGACTTCAAGTGCTCATCTTACTCTTTACTTATAAATAAATAAATACACACACACACACACACACACACCAGGAAATTAGGTCAGAACATCAGATTTTAACAGAAAGTCAAATTAATTTCAATCAGAGCCATCTTCATGTTTTACCGATCTTCTATAAAAAAAAATCATAGATTTAAAAACTGATTTCTGTAATATATATAGACATATCTCAATGCAAGTAACTCTTACTTCTCCCACTGCATTTCTTAGTTTCTTTTTTCTTTTTCTGGATTGAACTCCCAAGGACATTTAATCACTAAGCCACATCTGCAGCCTTTATTTAGTTTTTATTTTGAGACAGGGTCTCACTAACTTGCTTGGGTCCTTGCTAAGCTGGCATCGAACTTGCAGTCTTCCTACCATAGCCTCTCAAGTTGCTGGGATTACAGGCATATCCCACCACATTCAGCTCTTAGGTTATTTTCAATTTCCACTGTATATTATCATCTCCATATAACCTAAGTCCCCTTCTTCACTAATATCTCCATTTCCATTTATCACTGCAAACATTAATAAATGGGTGAAAAAACTAAACAGATACTTCTGAAGGGAAGAAATGCAAATTGATGACAAAGATATGAACACATGTTCATCATCTCTAAGTATCTGGGAAATGCAAATCAAAACTACAGTGAGATTTCATTTTACTTCAGTCAAAATGACAATGATGAAGAATACAAATAATAATAATTGCTGGTAAGGATGTGGCAAAAATGGATAGTCACACATTGGTTTGACTTCATGTTAGTATAACTACTCTGGAAAGCAGTATGGAGGTTCTTCAAAAAACTAGGAATGGAACCACTGTATGATCCAGTGTGTAGCCCACTCCTTGGTATTTATCCAAAAGAACTAAAAGCAGCATAGTACAGTGATACAGCCACGTAAATGTTTATAGCTGCCCAATTTACAATAGCCAAGTTATGGAACCATCCCAAGTGCCCATCAGTAAATGAATGGGTAAAGAAAATGTGGTATATATACACAACGGAATATTATTCAACCATAACAAAGATGAAATTAAGGCATTTGCTTCTAAATGGATGAATATCATTCTATGTGAAATAAGCCAGACTTACAAAATCAAGGATCAATCTTTTCTCTCATATATGGACATTAGACCTATATAAGGTAGAAAAAATGGTGGGGTTCAGTGAATTTTATGAAAATAGAAGGGATATATATATCAGTGGACTAGAGGAAGGGAATGGGGTGAGGTAGGGGTTAGGAGGAAGGAAAAGAAAAAAGAGAAATGGTGGAATGAAATTGACCACACTGTGTTATGTGCATTTATGAATACATCATGGTGAATTTCACCTTTATGTCTATAAAGCATGGATTTTTAAAAAACTATAAATAAATAGAAAAACAGTAGAATAGAGACAGGTTAATGTGGAGGGAGTAAGGAAGGGAAAGGAGAAGTACTGGGCACTAAAGTAAAGCAAATTATATTCCATGCTTTTATGATTATGTCAAAATGAATCCCAATGTTATGTCTAACTATAATGCACTAATAAAATAGTGGTGTGCTAACACATCATTATCTATTAATACAACCTGCTGCTTGGTATATAGTGAGGGCTCAATCAACATTTATTGAATGTGTCACTCAATAGTTGAGAGCATTAAATATGTTACTATTTTATATTTTCTTCTGTATCCCAAGAAAATAATTCTAGCAGTAGAAGTATTTTCATGGACTCTTCTTGTGACTTTAAATTTTGCTTTTACATGGTAATGTTTCAGGAATTCTAATTTAGAATATTATTTTATGCCACCCACTTAATTTTAGCTTGTTATACTAGGTTTCATGTTCCTTCTCACATGTGGGCCTAAGGAAGCAGGGATTGAACTTTTGTTGGCAGCTCTCTCTTTTTTTGAGTCTGTCTCATTCCCCCACACCCCACCACACACTATTTAGGTACTTGGCCATATTAAATTTCAGGCCTTCCCACCAAAAGCAGGGCATACTTCCCTGTCACTGGCATGGCCACATGGCTTCCTGTAGCCAATGGGATATTAGTAACCGTGCTGCAAGCAGATGTTTGAAATATGCTTGCACAGTTGTGAACACCCTGCTCTCTTTATTGGCCTGGGGGAGGAAAAATGTCTCTATAGCACAGCCATCATAGCTGACTAGGTTGTAAACCAAGGCAACTCCTGCCCCACAATCTGAAGCAGAAATATCTCCTGCAGACTATGTTCTTGTGAGCAAGAAAGAAATGCAAATAGTTGCATGCCAAGGAGATTTTCTAGGCGCTTGTTATGTGGTAATAATGACTAATAGAGAAATGATTGGAGAATACTGAATTGCAGCACTACTAGCTCAGTCTGCTTCCAAGGAAATTGGTGATATAGACAATAATGATGAAAATCCCCACTTATTAGTGCCTGTCAGTTGCCAGCAATAACTGGTTGCTTTGCACATTGTAGTCCCATTTCATCCTCTGAAATCAAAAACTTTATGGAGTGGGTAATATTAGCCCTGTTTCATTCCCAGAAATTTAGGATTCAGAAGTGGTCTTTTATCTTGCCAAAGGTCACAAAGTAAAGACGTTGAAATTCCAAAGTAAAGATGTTGCAATTCAGTACCTTTGTACCATTTACCCCTACATTTTAATGGGACAGAATTTAGGTTGCCTTCCAGATTATGGTAGTAAGGAATGGATAGGAATGAATGGAGTGATTTTCATTTATTGAATAATCACAGCCTAAAATAAATAAATGAATAAAGTTATTAGATTCACTACAATTTTTATTTGGCAAAATATTCACTAAGCTTTATGGTATTGGATTCATGTGCAAAATAATTGAAAAGAAAAGCAGGAATCCTATAACAAACAAAAGTTTCAGAACTATTGTGATGCCTATTTTGAACCTCAGCATTGTAGAATTCTACTATCCTCAGAGTGCAAACCACAGAGCAAGAAGAACCTCTGGAGGATTGTTGGAAAATGCAGATCAGGCTAGCAGGGGATGGTGTCACATGTCTGTAATACTAGAGGCTCAGAAGGCTGAGGCAGGTGGCTAGCAAGTTTAAAGCCAGTGTCAGTAACTTATGGAGGCCCTAAGCCACTTAGCGAGACCCTGTCTCAAAATATAAAATAAAAAGGGCAGGGGATGTGGCTCAGTGGCTAAGTTTCCTTGGGTTCAATTCTAGGTATAACAACAACAACAAAAGTGCAAATCTGTTGATATACCTTACACTTAAGTTGATAGAGATAGAATGACTGTGATCTGAATGTCTGTGACCCACCATCAACAATCCATATGTTAACTCTCATGACTAATGTGATATCTTAGGAGGTAGAGACTTTAAGGAGATGATTAGATTATAAAGCCTGATCCCTTATAAATGGAATCAATTCTCTTATAAAAGAGACCCAAGGGAGCTTCTTAGTCCCTTCCACCCTATTGAGATGACCACCATCTATGAACCAGAAAGGAGGCCCTCCCCAGATATGGAATATGATGGCACCATAATCTTGGACCTCTTAGTTTTCAGAGGTGTGAGAAATGAATCTGTCATTTTAGCCACCCAGTTGAATGGTACTTTACTATAGTAGCCCAAACAGACTAAACTGGTAATAATTTAAAATTAGGAAGGGCTTTAGAATTAGATAAATGTTTGAGGAAATGCTGTATCTCTTTCTAAAAGTGTGTCCCAGGTATAAGGAACATTCTGTGCAAAGGTGTTAAGGCAGGAGTGCATTTGATGTGTTCCAGGAACATCAGGCAAGGCAATAGGGGAAGATCCAGTTGGAGGAGAATGAAAGGAGATGATATCAGAAAGTGAGAAACAGCCTTCTAGGTTATAGTAAGAACTTCAGCTTTATTCTGAATGAAATGGAGAGTTGCAGAATTTTACATGAGAGAAAACTGGGGTGGAGGACACAAAAATAAAAGCTGGGATACAATTGACAAAGCTATTATGAGCATGCAAGTAAGAGATGATGACGGCTCAAGACCAGGAATTTGGCATCGGCAATGAGGTAGTTGAATATTAAAAAAAATAATAATGATAATTAATAAATAAGTATGTTTTAAAGATAACACCAATAATATTTCCAAATAAATTTTTAGTGGAATAAGATGAATAGTTGAAAGTAACTGCAAAATTGTCAGCCTGGGCAATTAGAAGAATGGAGTTATTCTTAAATATGATGGGGAATATGACAGATGGATCAGGGTTTGAGGGGGGATACTGAAAGTTTAGTTTCCATATGTTTATTTTACATTACAATCAGATTCAAGAAAGGCGAATTTAATGGCCTGTAGTTGGAGCAGAATGAAGTTAGGGTTAAAGGTATAGATTTGGTGGTCATTTGCATGCTCATGAATAATCATGAAATGCATAAAGGAGTGAGTATAGAGAGAAAAGATATTCAAGGCATCAGGCCAAGGCACTCACAAGTGAGATTAGAGAAATGTGGGGCTCTGTTGAAACCACAATAATTTCCTCTAAGCAAGAGGACAAAGTCCGAGTTATACACAATGAGTCAAAAATTTGAGCCAGGTCACCCTTTCCTTAAACCTTTTTGGTGACATTTTTTACATAATTGATTGACATGGCAATTAACACCACACGCACGCGCACACACACACCAAGCCACCATACATATGCATACTTGATTTTCGTTCATGTATCTAGAGCTTTGACAAATCCCTATGAACAGAGTTGTGCAAAATTAGGGAGAAATGCAAGCTATACAAAAATTAGTACATCAGATTAGTCCACAATTAGAGCCCCACCTCCTTCTTACAATTTTGTTAAAGAAAAAACAAAACATAAAAAAAAACAACCTGGTATTCTTCCCTGGGAAAAGAATTATCTGGTTAACTGCTCACCCAAATCTCCATTTTAATTTGCTTTTGGTACATATGGTGTGATTTGAGTACTTCCGAAGATAAAAGTGAAAAAAAAAAAAAAGCAAAGTTTTTACTATATTTTCTTCCCCTCTTAAGCACTTCATTTGTTTCCACATGAGTTGCTGAAAGTCATATAATATTTTAAGTATATGAGTTTTCAAATTGGCTCACAGGGGTTCAAACTAGAAAATCTAACATTTATTAAAGACAGATTGATTGTGTTATAAAACTCGTATGACCCAAAACTCAATTAAACTCCATTAAAGTAAGTTTTCCATGTTACTCATCTCGGCATACTATAAATCAATCAATAACTTTCATTTTTTCCCAAATAAACATCTTGCACATGCTTATAAATTTTTTTCCAGGTGTTTTTCCCTAACTATATTTTCTCTCTTTTTTTTCCTTCTTTCTTTTTTTTTTTTTTAAATTTTATTCCTTCCCACCAACAAGGCATTTCTTGGCAGCCAGAAGTACCAGCAGGAAAGAAGGGAGTCTTGGGTGTGGAAAGATTTCTCAGAAGTAGCTGGGATGTCACTAAAGTCTTGACTTCAGGTTCAGCTGACCATGAGCAGCCAAGTCGCCTCTTCAGCCATCCCTTCTTCTCCTGGTAAGAAACTAGAAGGCTGGCCTGCAGGGCACCTTTCTCCAAAAGTGTCATTCACATCAGATGTTGGGGATGCCTGCCACTTGAGTACAAGTACTTGGGGCAGCAAGTGTTTATAGGAGGGATTCAAGTTTATTTGAGTCTGGGTCTGAAAAAGAGAGAGGGGCTAGCACTTCGAAACTCTCTTCCTTAAATAGGGGGTCTTACATAAATGTAGTACCATTAGAGTGTTTGGTTTGTTTTTAAGGAACTAGAAGTTACATGTATCACACACACACACACACACACACACACACACACACACAGCATTTAAAAGTGGCTGTGTCACATAGCTCCTTAAAAGTGAAAACATTCTCTAAATCCAGGAGGTAATGGGTTAGTCAGACAATTCATCTGACTATTCATCTCCCTAGTCCACATCATCCTGAGTAATCAATAATTGGGTTAATTTCCCTTAACAAATTGTTCTTTTAAAGATTTGGCTTTAATCTGGCCAAACACGTATTCAATACTGACAGTTTTGCAGTGGCTGAGAGGCAAATGTATGCTTAATGCCTCTTTCTGATAGAGAAGAACCAAAGAAATCAATGTTCATGAATACGTTCAATGTATGTATCTTCGTAACATTTCTTATTTTTTAATTTTTTTGGTAGTGGTAGATGGAAAGTGGGCCTTTATTTTATTTATTTTATGTGATGCTAAGAATCAAACCCAGTCCCTCAAGCATGTGAGCCAAGGCGCTCTACCACTGAGCTACAGCTACAGCCCCTACATTTATTTCTTTTATATGATTAAAAAAAATCATATTGATTCAGTTGTTTCAGACATATACATAGTGCTGGGCTGCTCTATAAAGCCTTTGTAATTCTGGTTCCAGGATTTGAAATGTAATTTAAATTATTTTAAAGTATTTCAAATGTCTATAAAATTAATTTAAGCTATATATATACTATTTAAATATTAATCTGACATTACTATTTAACATTTGACATTAAATATTATAGTTTAAAGCTATTAAAATATTAATTTAAAATATTTATCAAATTTACAATTAATATTTATTAAAATACTATTTTGGAATTTTGCATCTTATGGTCCTTAGACCAGAAGATAAGTTCTTTATAAAAAGAGTTTTTCTGAATTTTATCACCCAGACACTGTTTATATTCACATTGATTTTTTAAACAAGATTTTAAAACAAGAGAAAAATCTGCATTTAATCCAAAATAGGAAATGATTGGAGTAGATAGTGGTTGATTTTTTTTTTTAATTCTAAAGTTTTTAAAGAGAAACAATTGAAGGTGTACAGGAAGTGGAACCTCCATCATGATATACATGATAGGAATCCCCAACTGGAAGATTTGCTAAAAGTTCAGGTATCATATGTGACATTGATCCATCTATTAATTGTAAATATAACCATACAGCATTCAGAAGAATAAAGATACAGTTTAGCTCTTATTAAGAAACAAGAGCTTAAAGCTTATATTTTCCTTCTAATTGTTTTTATTCTATTACCAACAGATAATTTTGTCAGAAAATAAACAATGGTTCTGTTTTGGAGGCTTTCAGATCTTTGTTTAGATTTTGCACAATCTGCATGACCAAGTCACCTTCCAGTACAGCATAGTTTGTCCCAATGTTTGTTGTGACCCTGGTGACATCTATCAAAGGAAATTGCTTATTTCCTTGGCTTTGTTTTCTTTGCTCCATTGACTCTGTGTGGTACATCCAGTTTCAACAGAACAACCTGAAATAAAGCACAGGAAGTGGCACCTCCATCATGATATACAGCAACAATCACTAACTTTCTTTTGTGCCTTTGGCAAACCATGATTGCTGTTCTGCTCAAAAAATGCAGGTCACTGGCCTTTTGGCAAACTCTCTTCATCGCTAGTCTAAATACTTCCTTTGAACACAAAGAAGGGCAAAAGAAGATGTATGAGTTTGGTTATAAACTGGCAGGTTATTTATTCAGACAATGGGAAAAGAAGCTGGGTAAATTTTGATGAGAACAAAAGAACTTGAAGAAAAAGGGAGTCCCCTGAGGGAGAAAACCTTTGCATTATGAGTTAATGACCATGTCAGAACTGTAATGAAAGGTCAGGGAGTATGAGATCACTTTGTGATCATCACACAATGGAGTCTTAAGATGGTCAATGAGGAGTGCATGTAGTCTCTAGCTTGATCTGATGGACATGAATACTTATCTTGCTTTCTTCATTTTATTTCCCCTTCAAATCATCAGATATTACAGGGCTGGGGCCTTCTAGGAAACTGAGCCTAAATGCCCCCTTCAAACCCCTATTTCAGACAAGCTGCTCAGAGTTACAGGCATGAATGTATTAGAGGGACAGGAAAAGGGAAAGGGGACACTCTCAGGGGAGAGAGTGGGTCCTATCAGAGTGGAGAGGGACAGCATGCCCCTCCTGCCCTCCAGTTTTATTGGGGGTCCCAGCAAAGTTTCCAGAGAATCCCCTATAAGTCCACCTCTTGACATTCAAGTCACCACTGCCATGACAACTTTAGGTCACTTTGGTTCATGCTGACTGGTTCTAATTGGAGCCTGGTCTTATAGATAGTATGGTTAGGAGGAATTATTTTTATCTCCCTGATTGTTCAGGGATCTGGTCTGTGTTAGGGTCACAAAAGTGCTGCCCCCACACACACACTTCAGGGTAACTTGTGTTCATATTGAAATTCTAGGGCCTGCATTTTTTTTTTTTTGCAGACAATTTGATGAGGTAATTTGATGAGAAATGTAATTAACATATCCTGTGGACTTTAGTTGGGCAGGGCTCAAGATAAATTGCTCTTTAAAAGTAAAAGCATGTGGGGCTGGGTTGTGGCTCAGAGGTAGAGCGCTCACCTACCATGTGTGAGACACTGGGTTCCATCCTCAGCACCTCATAAAAATAAAATAAAGATATTGTATCCATCTATAACTAAAAAGTAATTTTTTTTTAAGTGAAAGCCTGCAGGGGTCAGTACAGTGGGCTGTTTATAGAATTATTCCCTTAACCCTGTGTTCACCCTGCTCAGGTCTGTCTGATCAAGCATCATCTCTCATATGTGTTTTCCTCTTACATCTGGCATAAGAACACACATGGAGTGCACTATAAGGCTCAACCTTGACACTAGGACTTGGTGATTCAAATCTGATTCTTGCGTCTGGGATCTTAGTGACCAGGGATCAATTGTTAAATACCTGTTGAGATTGTGGTTTTTCTAATGAGTAAGAGATTGTGATCCCCAATGCATTTCCTTGTAATGCCTAATTTGCATGAACTTCACTGGGAAAATACCAGATTATTGGCTGACTTTTACCAAGTGCTTTGCACATCAAAAGGGCTTAATAAACTGATGTTTGAAGTTGTTGATAATGGATAAGTGGTGTGTTCTCTCTTTCCTCCATATTTATGGCAGTTCATGTAATAAAGTTTTCATATGCTCTTTTATTTTTTAGTTTCAAAAGATAATCTTGGCCAAGAAGTTACAAGTTTTTCTCTCTTTCTCTAACATTTCCAAATGTAAGATGAGTTCTCTGCTTACAAATTTAATTGGAAGTATGACATCCATTAAGTTACATTTCATTGAGTGTGTTAGTGGTTAATATTTACATTTACTCTGCTTATCTACTAGTATTCATTTAGGATTGCCTATCTATGAACTATAGTATTGGGGACCGCAGATCAAGTCAAGATGGCGCCTGGCAGTTTGCCAGGAGGAGTGGTTTGTGAAGCAATGCCACGGAGCCATTAAGTTGGTGGAGATTCCTTATTGGCTGATTGCTGTAACTGGATGATGCTAATTGAGTCAAGCTGTGTGTAATCAGTTAGGTATATATACCTCTGCTGTTTTGCAATAAGGCGGTTCCTGCTACCTTGGGTTCTCTCTCAGTTCCCGCTGAGTTTTCCCTACAATAAAGCAGTTCCTGCTTCAACCTTCAAGTTGCTTGTCACCTCCTGGTTATTTTTCCCAGCCGAACTGCGTCACTATAGAAATTCTCTCACGTCTTCCTTCTTCCTTCATCATGATAAACTTTTCCAGATACTTCCTATGATTTTAGGAATAGTATAGGGAAATAATAATTTCATCATTAAGTTTTCTAGCTTCTGTATGAGGGATAAGCTTAATTCAGAGGTAACATAGTGAATCAGTTAGCCATCACTACATAACAGACTACCCTCCAGTTTAAGCATCTTAAATACCAACCTCTTCTTATTAGTATTTCTTAAACTAGCAACCACATACTATCTGGCAAGTTCCGCTGACCTGAGAAACTGACTAATCTCAGACTCCTTTATATGTCTGTGGTTAACTGGAGGGTTGGATGCTTACTGCGATAACTCATTCTCCTTCGTGTGTGTCTCATGTTCCTGCAGCAAGCAGCCAAAGCATTGTTTTAAAAAATATTTTTTTAGTTGTTGGTGGACCTTTATTTTACTTATTTATATGTGGTGCTGAGATTTAAATCTAGTGCCTCATGCATACTAGGCAAGCGCTCTACCACTGAGCCACAACCCCAGCTTGGCCAAAACATTTTATAATGGTGGTAGCCAGGGTTGCAAAAAGATACACAAAACTGTTGTAGCATTGTTTTTAAGGCTTTTCTTTCACTGATTTCATCAAATCAAGACTGAACTCACACTCATTACAGGAGGGCACTTACCAAGGGCAGACTACAGGGAGGTATAGGAAATTGGGGACATTATAAAGAATTGGATTCACTGGTTAACAGTAACTGCACTTTGGCTATAGGTTGAAGCCATGTTTTCCCATCCAGTGTCATCTGTACCAAACCAGACTTTGGCTCTGTCTCTAGTATCTCCTTCCCACATGATTCAGAACCCTCCTCCAACAGATGATGACCTTGAAGGCATTTTGCATAACAAGAACGAACCATGCTTTGTTTCCTTTTTTGAATTATCTGGCTAGGCTAGCTATGCTGGCACAATTTATAGGGACAGATATCCATCCATCAAATCCATTTTGTTGTGTTGATTAAATTATAGAAAATATAAAGA